TGTCTTGATTGAAGAATTTGAAGTTATTCTATTTCTTCCTCAAGGTTTATCCATACCAAAAGTATTACACATCTCACTGACAGGGTCGAAGTAAGTCTAAGTTGCTTTAGCTTGTAGCCCCTGAGGCTCCTTCCTCTTCCGAGTCGACTGAATCAGCAGGGGATTATTTGGAAGATTGTTTCGTTGAAGGAACTTCCAATTATTCCGGTCCCATGTGCCATAGGGCCATAGTCCCAATTAGTAGGCCTGTCCAGGGCGTCCTTATGGTAGGTTTGATACACCCTGTCCACTTGTCCTATATTATAATAGACTCCGTATCAGTACAGTAGGCCTGACTCCTGAGCTCTTCGGTAGGCTGGTAGGTTGTTAGGTCGTGTCAGTTAGTCATCTGTCAGTTCAGTCCCAGAGTTCCGACCAATCCCAAAGTTCGAAACCACAGCTCAGTCCCAAGCAAGTTATCTGTCAGTGTGGTCTCAAAGTTCCAAACCACAGCTCAGTCCCAAGCAAGTTAAGTAACTCCCGGATCCGTAGAGTCGTAGAGTCCTAGACAGGACAGCTGTGGCGGGCAAGTCAGGGTACCGGTCAAAAGAGCGCAAGATTGGGAGTTGCAGTGCAGTGCAGTGCTAAAGTCCAGCTGCAGACAAAGCACAACACAATTTGCATTCAACTCACCACAAAAAAAAAAGAGAAAAGAAAAGAAAGGAGCGCTGTTCCGGTCTCTTATGCGTTCCGGTCTCTTGTGCGGTCAAGCGCAGAGTGCGGCCGAGAGGCAGTTCAGTAGGGTAGTCCATCGTGGTCGAGATGAGAGAGAGAGAGGGAAGCGAGGAAGACATTGCAAGAGAAAGAGATAGAGGCCTGAGGGTAGATAGGATATGAGAGAGAGAGAGAAGGGGGGGGGATTGGCCTTGTTGTCGTGCGTCACGGTGCGTGGCGGCCATGCCTCCCCGTGTACATGCATGAGACTTTGATGTCGAAGACTTGGAATTTTCAGACAGTGCCCGCTGTGTTCCCATTTAGCGTTGGGTAACCCGCCCCGGTTGCATCTCGTATGTGAAGCCTTGTGTATTGAAGAGAGATCTTGTGCTGCTGCTGCAATCGTAAGGCCACTGCAATTGATTATGCGGAGTTTTTTTTGTTCTGAGCTCTTTGTGCTCTGTCGTGAGTGTGCTGCGCCTCGTCTGTGACTTGCTTTGGGACTCCGTTTTCATGGTGACGCAGTTGGTGAACGTTTTGTGTTGTTCGTGAAGGACATCGATTAAAAAATGGGTCTACTCTACAGTCTGGTCTTCGTCCTTGCCCTCCTCCTAATCCACACTCCTTCAGCTATTATATGATTGTTCTCTTTTCCTGTTTCCCAAGAAACAGAAGCCTTGACTCCCTTCTATTCTGTGGAGTAACAGCCCTGTTCCTTTTCAACCAGCAAGTCAGAAATTTTACAGGAAACGACAAACACGGAGATTGTGAGACACAGACAAACCTCTTCATTGGACTCAGATATCTATGTTCCGCTCCTTTCAGCTTTCTTCCGTTGTGCTTCTTCTTCTTCTTCTTCTTCTTCTTCTTCTTCTTCTTCTTCTCGTCCTTCTCCTCTTTTCTTTCCCTTCCCTCCCCTTCTCCGATCTCCTCACTCTTCTGTTTGTGGTAAATTTCATCTTTTGAATGGCCAGGAGTTCGATTCTCATTATCAGATGGATGCACTGTTGCTTGCGCATCTCGCTAAGCTGTTGGGCATGAACTAACAGACCTGGACCGCCTTTTCCCGAACACAATTCACCCTTATTATGAATGTATAAAAGCTATCTTCCGAGCCCGAAACAGTCATGATAAGCGTGTACTGTGTTCCGGGAAAGACGGTAGTTATGTCATCGAAGCATTGAAACTCACCAAAGACTATCTACGAGAGGTCGTACACATCGTGTTGCAAGACGACGGGATAAAGAGCACGCGGCATAAGTGATGATACGAATAACATAAAAGATATGCGCAAAGACAAAAGCCCAGTTCATACGTGCACCGGCGACCTCCGAAAGATCAAGAGCCGTATGGAAAAGCTCATTTCATGAGTCCTATCAGCGTCCTGATCTTTGAGGGAGACTACCAGCAGCAGCAAACCCCGGGACATTCCTAACACATTCGGTTGCGGACACTCAGGTCGGGGCTGGCTAATGAGTAATCGTGACAAAACAAGATAGAGAGATTGGTGGGTTGGAGTCTCAGGGATCTCCTTTCGATCCTGGTTATATTTTTCCTATCTGCCCTGGGCCGGAATCCAAGATAAAATCTGGCGTTCTCTTTCCACATTGGACTGCCGTATGTTTGTTTCGGGCAAGATATCAGCGAATAAATACTGAATACATAGACGCCGTGCTAATTTCTTTTGTCTTTACTTTTTTTTCCCCCTTTTGACCTCTGTAATTGTGTCAGCCTCTGATCTTTAAGTTACCTAGTGACATCACAGTTACAATGACAGAAAATTTATCGAGTGCTCAGTGTAGGAGAACAGGCACGATGATATGTCTCGGTCTATTGGGAATGCCACTCCGGACTGCTGAAACAAAATGCGGCTAGAGGGGCTATCTTGGTGGCTATTCATATTTTACAGAAGCTTAGGGCGTAAGTACTAACTCTATTGTATTCCTCAGATTTTCTCCTGATCCGGGCGGGATTAGAACGTATGATCTGGTCCACGAACACAGCTACGTACTTGTACCATTCACCCATATGTGCGGGGTTATCTTTCCATTGCACCTACACGATCTCTATTGCGCCTACACGATCTGTACTCTCATTGCTCTTCCTAACAGCCGAAGTCATGTGATCGAAGGTTGAACACGTGCGTGTCCATTTGGCGAAGTGGCATGTTGGTACCTATACCCTCTTTGCAAAGATCGGGCGGCCTTTCCAAAGAACACTCGCTAACAGCGTACTAGTGTAACGGCTGGTTTCTTCTGGAAATGGGGCATCTATCTTGCCGAGTCATTGCTTATCTCCTCTGAGATGTGCACTAAGGCGCATCCTGGAATAAGCTAACAAGCTGCAGAGCTGTTCTACGGTCATCGGACCTGCAAGAACTCACTGATAAGACTGACGGAGATCAGCTCCCCTCTGTGCCTGTGTTTTGCGCTCTCGAGTCTCGAGAAGCGAAGGAGATGTGGTGGCAATGACAGTGAACCATCTTGACACTGTGCTTTGCGCTCTAGGGAGCAGTACCCGCGACGAAAACTTTTGTGATAGAACCTACCTGAAGTCGCGGGAGTCTCCGGCCAGAGAGAAAGCCGAGAATCCGAAGGGGCCCTTACAGAGCAGAGTGCTTTTCACCGACAGACAAAAAGCTTTTAAAGCACAATGCGCACATCCAAATCAGTGCATACGCCGAGTCGATCAATCACGAAGATAATCACAAAGCTAACAGATTCACGACATGTGTTTGTCCGTTTCTCTCCCCTCTGCTTGTGAGCAAACAACAGTAGAAAACGCCAGCAGATTTCACGGATAGCCCGCCATCCGCCACTGACCGACTGACACAGCTACGAATGGTCATGCAGCCGCAGCTAGCGTAGAACGCCTCCGTGGTTCGTAACGGAATCATCGTCGGAATGTACGACTCAAGCCCTGAGCGAGGGTTGGGGTCACACGAGCTTGTTCGCAGTACGGCCTAAGCTTACGTAACTCAAACGCGCTGGTACGCAGAGGACGACAGATACAGTGCCAATCGCCTGGTTGAATTGCGCAACTTCAGTTCTGCGACTTTACTTAGAGCCTTCTGCGACTGTATGAGCCTACTACCCAAAAATCCGAGAAGGGGTAACTTCAGTAGAGTCACAAAAACGAGTTATAATTGCACTATGGGGCAAGATACAGGTTGCAATCGCACTTTGGGCACCCTACCTGGCCAGAAAGCTGGGTAGTATACATTACCCAAACTGCCATTCGAAAATGTATCTTGGCCCCGTAGTGCACTCATATAACTCATTTGTTTGACTCCCGCGTAGTTTCCCCATCCGAGAGGGTTAACTTCAGGAGAGTCACAAAAACGAGTAATAATTATTGCACTATGGGGCAAGATACAGTTCGCAATTGCACTTCCGGCAATAAAACAGACACGCTCCCAAAAACATGCCAGCAACCTTTCTCGGCCTTTCGGCTAAGATCGAGTGTGTAATATCTGTTCTGATTAGTTTAATATCTGGTCCTTGTCCACCGCACCACACTACAAAAAAAAACATATTCACGAATCCAAATGAAAGAGAACAGCTGATTCTTGTAGTCTACCACGAGTGACGGACATGTGTGACGTGGTCGAGAGCTTGCTTCTCCTACGAGAAAACGCAGATGCGCAGGAAGGAGGGCAAGAGAGAGAGAGAGAGAGAGAGAGAGAGAGAGAGAGAGAGAGAGAGAGAGAGAGAGAGAGAGAGAGAGAGAGAGAGAGAGAGAGAGAG